GTACAACGTAACTCGTCGCGCTGATTTCGAATATGCAAAAATCTCGGTTGACGCATCTCTAGAAAAAAACCATCAAATTTTGATATGGTACCCAACCTTCGGGTCGGTCGGGTACGGGTACGTGTCGGGTTGCCCAGCTCTACTTTGAAATCAGACGAGAAATTTGTGAAGAAAGGCAAATGGCTTTTGTTGAACTGATGGCATGAAAAGGAGTTTTTGAAAGTGGAAAGCGAAAAGGGAAGCATTTCCGATCATTTTCACTCAAAATCATATTAGACCATTTCCTAGCAGAAACCGTCTCCCGTCCTTTACACACCTGTGAACATAGAAAGACTTTTACATACCTAGAAAAAACACACCAGTTTGATCTTAGAACTTTTACACATCTACGGGCACGCTTTATTTTTTACAGTGTGATGATTTCTGTAAGAGGTTGAAAGCTTGCATTTTATCTACGTTTGATTTGTTAAATTAAATCAATAAAAATGATTCTTACGGCAGTTCTAAACTATATATATTACTTTATGTTTTTTCTTCTTTGTTGATATGTTTTTGCTAGTGCATTCAATTAGTCTTGCTTACATTCCTTTGAAAGTTCATCCGATCGGCCTAAAATCTTTACACCACAGTGACTTCAGAAGTTTCTCCGAAGCTTTTTTCGAAAAGACGTGCTTCTGATACTCATAGTTTTTCAAATTCCAAACCAATTTGTTAAAAGAGTTTTTCCGTAATTTCACTAGAATTTCCAAATAAAACACATTCAGTATTATCCTCACTCAGAGTAGTACAATCATATTGTACTATCCTCATGGTCTAGTTTAGTACAATTAGCCTTGAAACTCAAAGTTTTATGCAACAAAATTTACTTGTATGAGAGAAAAACAAAAAGATAAATGAAAGCTACTGCTATAGAATTGCTGTTATCAAGATCCTCGAATTTCTTAGTAAGGTAATTTTAAGAAATGCTATAGTCTTTAGTGAACATAACAAACTTACAGAATTTTTATGAGTATCATATCTAGGTGATGTATAATACAATTATTTGTCTACATTTTAATATTGAGAAAATTCATAGTAGAAAGATGACCTAAACATTGATAAGAAACGTAAAATGCCTCTCTAACGCTGACGAACGAAATACCTAAAAAACGGTTATGTCCCTGCTCTTAATTTCTAGAGAAAACATCGCATTTGTTCGATACACACAAAGCCAATAAATTTTGTTAAATAATGAACAAATTACTCAAATGAAATGGGACGATGTACGACAACGTCTAGAATCGATGCGTATTCGATTAAACATAATGGCGAAACAGACAGCAAATTATTGAGTAGTTTTAAGGGTGCTCATTGGGATGATATTGTCAAGGAATCAACGTGATTTTCGGGAACAAAAGTATTCGACTTTACCTGGAATTGAATAGGAATACCTTTTTACTACATACGAGACCATTTTTGTTAAAACCGAAGGTCCCCGAATTTCAGCCGATAGAGGTAGCTCAACCTTACAGAGCAACTAGGCAACGGCGGCGCGAGGCTATCAAAATTTCCTGCGCTTTCCGCGGCGATATATATTTCGAAATTTTTAGTTGATTTCAGTTTTCGATGAAAATCCCAGTAGTTTTTTCAAGGTGAAAAGTCGAAAAATATGAAAGTAGTCAGATACGATAGAAACACACATCAGTCGACTCAGTTTTCGATTCTGATTCCGAATATGATATTTTCATTGCTCAGAAGTTGAGTTATAGTGGAGAAAATTGGGAATTACGGGCAGAATTCTGACTTTTTCGACTCTTATTTAGAAAAAATGAAGTTTCTCAGCAACGAAACAAAATTTTCCTTGCTCAAATCTCATGTTGAATCAAGGAAATTTTCAGGAAACGCTCAGGACAGCTGATAAATCATAATCGAAGACGAAAGGATTCAACTTTGTATTACGCGCACCTTAGGCAAAATAAATCATGTTCTCTCTCGCATCGAGCCACAATGAGAGCAGCTAAGATATGCATATCCGTGATCAGCGTAAAATTCTCTAAAAGAAAGGCTAGGTCTTGTCTCTATTCTAGGGGGTCACTCAGATATGTTCCCTCGTTAGTAAAAAAATGCTTTTCGGTACTCTGTGTCATAAGTATAAAAAGCCTCATAGCAGCAAAATTTTTAATAAAAACCGATGGACAAATGATTTAGAGTCTTTTCTAAACTGAGTGCTTTTCAACGAAGATTAGTCGCTGAGAGCTAGAAAATATCTCATATTGTTCAGAAATGGTTGCTCTGTAAGATTGAGCTACCTCTATCGACTGAAATTCGGGACCTTCGGTTTTCGAGAGCCCGAACATCTATCAATTTTAATGGAATCTTTGTACTCAAAAATCTCTATTACTACTTCTAATTATAAACTCTTTCAACTAGCCAAATAACTTCTTAAATTTCTTTTAGTTCTCTCACCTCCCTCCTAGAGGTTGGTTCTAATTAGAGCCGTGCAGGTTACGACTTTTTGACAACCTATAGCCTAACCTATAAAAATTTCCATAACCTAAATCTAACCTAACCTAATAATGTTTTTCGTAACCTAACCTAGGTTAACCTAATACAACCTTTTGCAATTTTTTCCTAAAACCTGGTTCCAAAAGCCTAAACTTCAGCTTTGTGGTGTATTGTTATTGTTTTTTATCTAAACACCGTCTGAAAGGTAAGCTTATACAAAATAAATCATATTTTACATGAATATAGAAATGAATCGGTTGAGTCTTTAATGCAATTTTTGGAAAATAGCTTTCTGAATAGGAAGACCTTCTTAAGAGTAGACCAGAATTTCACTTTAGGCTCTCGATGCTACGAAGGTTCTGTTATTGTTGTGTATTTGCCATCTATTTTTAGCAAACGGAAGTTTTTTCCCTGTACTTCCTTTTTTGATTGTGCTATTATTCAGTTTAAAAATAGTTCAGTTTAAACTAGTGAACCTCAGTCTGAACTTCATCCTCAATCGATAAAATTCCACTCGGACTACGCTTATTACTCAAAGTGTTGGCTGTTTAATGTGGTCGTTCAAAATCGATTTTTTCGTTTAAGTTAACAATAAGTTATCAATGGCGTAACTTACAACCTAACCTATAAAAGATTTCATAACCTAAACCGAACCTAATCTATAGGTTAGGTTTAATCCGCAGGGCTCTAGTTCTAATTGGGGTCTCTGTTAGAAATTGATCAGAAAAGCAGAAAAAAACATGGTTTGCTACTTCGCTAGTTGCACTCATCTGCATTAGTATCCTGAATTATTCATCTAGATTTTCGAGAAAAATAAGTCAAAACATCCGCATTAAGATAAAGCATAATAATTGGTTTTGTTTCAATTAATCTTGTAGCCGTCGATCAAGTTTTCATCTCTGGGAGACATCGCGAATTACCAGCTCGTCTAAGTTCGGACGTTTTTCAGATTTTTAACTTGATTTTAAACTTGTGCTGGATAAGTTGGTTTTTAGAAAGAAGTCTGACGTAATACATCCATGTCTCTCTACTTTTTATTGAATGTGTTGGATTCTGATCATACCGTAGGGAATATACTCATGCGTGAGTACTCTGCTGGAAAAACTGGACGGGTATGCATACGTACTCATACATTTTGATTATTCACATGAGTACTCATGAGTGAGTAATGAGTGTACTGTGGGGGCGACTTTGAGTATTGCTTGAGTATTGTTAAGTACGCATATAACTTTTGGCAAAGTACTCATGAGTATTGTTTATCTGGTATTTTCATATGGAGGAGTGATCTCAGGCAGTCAGAGTTGAACTACAAGTCTATTTAAGGACGATCGAGTCCATCTCCAACTATATACAGAGAGACCGACGAGAAAAATATAATATAAATATTCTATGTTTCTTTAGTAAATTCTACGTTCTTTATATAGTTTCATTTTTGCAAAAAAAAATGGTGAATGAATATTTTATGAGTACTCACCGAGTAAAAATACTCAAAAGTTGTTAGTAGAACTCATATGAGTACTCATGAACGAATTATGAGTAAAGTCGTACTTATAGTACCCCCGCCCCCCATAACAGAAGCCTCTGGGGCTTCTAAACTGTCCAGGCGTTCAACATTTTTAGGGGGGACTACTATTACGATTTTCGTACAGAAATTTCCAGAAAAAGAGGAGATTTTGAATTTCGATGCTCTTGCCTTTCTAATCACGGTAATCTGAAAAAAATCTTCGAGATAAAAATGTAAATTTTATTCGTTTCCTTTTTTTACACACGACATCACACAAGAACAATTAAAGTAAAAAGAAGAAAAAAAGAGTTCAGATGGTTATGAGTACTTCCACTAGGGTAACGATAACATTTCAGTGAATTGACTATGAAGAATGAGAAATGTAAATAAGGTAACTATTTTCATTGTTGTTTTTTCTTGTTTTTCTTTTTCTAAAAATTGGGAAAGTCTTTTTTGTTCCAAAAACAGTCAGTATTCAGCACAAGGATAAACTGGCATCCTACACACGTACTGCTGTAGAAAAAAGACAGCATACATCTGGCTGGAATGTTTCTTACTTGTGATGTTACGTAACAAGCACTTTTCGTAACATTCCGTCACAGGAATGATAGGCTATCAATCAACGTTAACGTCTCACGGGGCGATTCCACTATATATTGGCTCCCGTCCTTTCATCAAAGTTTTCTACGAAAGCAAGTTCAATTTGATAACAATTTGAATCGACTTCGGTTTGATTAATCAATACCGAGAATATTTCGAAAAGATATAGGCATGTTACCGCTAGGTGCATAATGCACAACCAACATGTTTTATGAAGTTATATGTTTACCTTGTGAACTCTAATAGTTGAACATATCTTTTAAGCGGTTTTCAGAGAAAATTGATACACTTATTTAACCGTTTATTCTTAAAACCTGTTTTCGTATACAAACAGTGCTATCAATGTTAATGAGACCGTTAAGTAAAATTATGTTTTTCGTAATAGATGGAATAACAACAACCATATGGTTATTTACATTCCGTAATGAAGATAATTTCTTAAATTTGGTTGTCTCACTTGTAAGATGGATGGTGTAATAGGAAAAAAGCCAGGAAATTTCATATGTGATCCATGAACACCTGGTTCAATTTTATCTTGTTTTGGACGGTCTTTTGGTAGCAACTCATTGATGCGCGCTATTTTTCGTGCTCGTAATGCCCACAGAGATTTAATTACTTCTTGGTTATGAGCAGCAATTGAATAATAAACTGTCCGCAATTGTAACCCAAATATAACAGCAAAAAGAAATGTTATCAACTAAAATGTAAAAGAACGACATCAATTTCGTATTTATAGAGAACTAATTGAAAAATAGAAATATTTAATTGCCAGTTTCGTTAAATATTTTGTTTTTCAAGCATATTTCTCGTGTTCCCAAAGTCACACGATTACAATAATTGGACTACAAAAAAATCGAACTATAAGAATACAATCGCCTAGAGTTTTTTTATTTTATTAACTTTTCTTTTTTTTTTCGAAAAAAGTTCTAGAATCACAGATGGTAAAAATTTGTTCTCAATCGGATCGTTTTTTTCGAGCGATCGTACCATGACTGAATGGAAACTGACGCCTCAGGAAAATCCATCGAAGTACACATTAGGAACTTCTAAGTAAAAATACATCGATTTTCTTTTTCGATGTTCTATGCTAAATTTGGACTCAATCGGACCGTTGCTTCCGCATTTGCCAACAGAGTAAGAAAGATTTATTTTTATTTAGTGAAATCTACTTTTGCTAGATGACTGCTATAAACAGAAAAAAAACAGGAATATCAAGTTTTTTGGACAAGACTTTATCTCTGTAGCCAAAAGCGATGATCACTTATCCGACATTATAGTATCCGTCCTTTCATTTTAAACTCTTAGTAAAAATGCTGTCAAAATTAAACTAATTAAGAATCAAGACTTGATATTTAGAGGATAGATCAGATTCCGAAGGTTCGTTTTTGAAAACTCTATAGGTCGATGAGGAAAGATTTTAAAAAAAGACACTTTTATCGAATATGGGCAGAAACATATGCTCACATGTTTCAGACCTACCCAACTAGTTGTTCGAGGGGTACTTCGAGCGCTCGAAAATATGCTTTCGATAGACCTACGTCGAGAGTTCGAGCCCTCGACGAGTACCCCTCGAACGACTTTTTTCATCTGCATGGGTATATCCGTATTTTCTTCTACCGAAAGTATTTTCATTTTTATGTCAGCTGTTACGTGTAGAATAAATTATCTATTATTTATTATTATCTGTTATTAAGAACTTTCTCGCAGTCTAAGAGGGTCAAATACAAAAAGTGAAAAAGATTTTTGGAATAGGAACTTTTTGGCATACAAGTACATTGAAAGATTTTTGAATCCTAAGCAATATAAGAATGGTACCAAATATTTAAGCCAATTGAGTGAACTGTTGGCTTATTGCTTTTCTCCAGAGTGCGTTTTTCTGCCCGTAGATCTCGGTAATTTCAAGTCATAGAAAACTGGGACAAAAAAGAGAATATAAAACTCACACTGAATACAACACATTCGAGGTTGTTTTTGCGTTACCTTTTTAGTTGACTATTTCATTTACTGCGTGGTATTTTTGCATACGAACAGTAGAGAAGTTTCGATAAATATTCGGGATTATAGAATAATTGTAATCTTCGTCCTGATTTTAACCTACCGGCATTAAAATAATAGGGATATGGACGAGCGTTAGACCGTTCATAAATTGATCAAATCGACGCGATGCTAAATCGTGACAAGGTGTCTAAAGTCCATCGATATGGAAATAATTCAACATTGACAGTTCTTGATTTGCTTGCAACTTACATTTATGTATGTGTTATTCGATGATGGTACACTAGGAAGACACGTTGCTAAAAGAGGAACATTGACAAACAAAAAGTCATAGAATAACACTGAACTACTCTCTAAAGAAAAAAAGAACCAAGAAAGGGTATTTCCATGCTGGGATACCCTTTTTTAAATCTCTGAGTAACAAATGCAGATACCCTCTTTTTTTTGTTTTGTGGAATTAGAGATACCCTTAACCGTCTTTACAATGCCATTTTGGTATTTCAGTGCATCCTTTTTGGTTTTATAAGATTTCTTTGAGAGTATTTCCCATTTCGCAGAACCAAAAAAAGAGGTTATCTGTATTTGTTACTCAGAGATTCCAAAAAGGGTATCCCATCATGGAAATACTCTTTTTCCCTAATGAAAAACCTTCTCAAATCTTACTAAGATCTTAGAAAGATTTTGCTTACATTTGTCTAAGATCTTAAACAAATCTTACTAAGATCGTGACATCCGAAAATTATACCATCTTACTAAGATTGTACTGTCTAAGGCTTTTTCAAGAACGGAAAGAATGTATTAGGATCTTAATAGTAAGAACGATAACGTTTTTTAAATAATATTCATCCGACGTTCACTGAAAATTTTTCAAGTTTTAATCCGCATTATCCAAAGCAGCAGTTGAACGGTGTTGAAGAATGAAAAGAAATATCCTATTTTCAGGTGTCCAACTATGGACCTTGATCTGCATGTACACTCTCTAAAAAGTTGTAGAACACGTTCGAGAGACCAAGTACCAGCAGAGTCTGGCAGAGAAATAACCGTATAATATATTTTCGGTCACTTATATAGATGAATGAGAGCAAACACAGTTATTAAATCTTATTAAGATCTTAAACGATAAGATCGTAGATTATCTTATTAAAATCTTAAAGGATAAGATCTTAGTAAGATAATTTTAAGAAGTGTCTAAGATTTTTACTAGGGTTTGGTCCTGTACGATACGAAAATTTTTTAGAGAGTATTTACCAGCAAGTTGACAACATGATTGTGGTATACGCCAAGTTGGATAAAGTATTTTAAAATCAGGACTTTGATCGAATAAGATAGTTGGATCGCTGCCGCAACACTTATACTAAAGTCATAAAAGAAAATCGAGTCATAATGAAGTCAATTCATCAATATATTATCTTGCTACTCTTTTATGTAGATGGAACCATGCCTGAGAAAACGAATCCATGCTAAAATCATCTTCAAATGCTTTTACTGAGGCTTTTAATGTTGATAAAAAATTCAGTTTTAACTAAATATAAACAACAACGATAAATAACATCAGTCTATAACTCGCACATTGATGCGATACATACTCTACTTAAATTTGCAAATAGCGCGGTGCTAAATACAATAGCTAACACTAAAGCAATCATATTGAAAAGAGCACCCTAAACACAATTAAATGTCTGTACAGTATTATTAGCGTGTAGAACGTTTAAAATTACCAAAAATATGATTTTCAACGATCGATCTGATATTGCTATCCAATATGAGATTGATGATAATATCAGTATTGTGCCGGCAGAAACAAAATATAATATTGCCTAAATGAATTAATGAGTATTTTCAATAAACAATATGTACTTTTAAGGAGAATCTGACTCGAAATATCAGAAGCCCGTTTTATAGTACAAAGGATTATACGATGCACGATTAAAGCACGAAAGATTTTCTCCAAGTATCATATGATTCTGACAATCTCACATGTGTCTCTCTAAAACAAACCCTATTCTATACTACCGGAAAGTAATAAAATCCTGGTGATGATGTTCGACTATACGCTCGTGTGAACGTTAAATTTGGATGAAATGAGTCGGAAGCGACCGTCAACAGTATGCCAAAAGCAATCAACGCACATCCCATTAACTAGCAAGAAGGATATACACTAAAAATCATTAAGTAAACACGCGTAACCATTGTATGACTTACTCACAAATTGAAAAACTACTAATATATAAAATATTCTCATTAACCATATACCCTTGCCTAAAAACTAGAATAACAACAAAGTATAAATCCATGTAAAATCCACCATCATTACGCTGACCTTTATTGCCAGCACCTGTATCCCGCACAAGTTATAAAGCTGATAGATGGATTTTAGCAAAATCCGCCAGGCACTAGCAGTTATGAGGGCTGAGTAGTCTCCATTTTAATATTTCAGTCTCTAGTATCTAGAACCTGAGAAACTAAGGCATTTTCAGAAACCCTTTTAACAAAAGCTACTTATGAGTCGAACTTTATTCTATCAAAGTCAATAGATTTTGAGTTGTTTTTTTGAACAAAAAAAGAATTACAAGTCCGGTATGGGCCGAGGGAATAAGCGTTGAAAGTTAGATAGAAATGGATGTAAAACAGCGATTTTGTATAAAAGTAAAATAAAGACTACTCGGCTCTCAGAACAGCTAGAAATCTGTATATTTCACCCAAAACATTAAAATCATTTTTACAGCTTTATAATTTGTGCAGAATGTGGATACTTGCGGTGAAGCTCAGTGTAATGATGGAAGGTTTTACTATCGTTAAGGAATTCATCTCTAACTGATAGTAAAAATGTAGTGGTACTTGTCCACTAAAATGTAATTATCTTCCTTACTTCAACTGGATCAAGTTTGTATGGTGTCTAAAAGTACGAAACAACTTTGAGTGTACATGACTATAACAGTTTTTATTTGAAACACGATTGATTAGTAATTTTTATGTTGTTTTTCGAATCAAAACAATCAAAGATCCGATATAAAAATTTAGTATTGCATGGAAATAACTTGCTGTCTTACTTCTCCATTTGTAAACAAGCCCGTTTTCAATATACTATCTAATTCTTTTTCACTCATGACATCTGTTTTTCCATCTTTATCTATTCGATGTTGAAAATAACTTTCCATAATATGATTATGTTTTGCTAGTAGAGATTTTTGTTCAGAAGCAAAATCATTAAATATGTCCATAAAAGCAGCAAATGGAGCATATTGTGGACCATACATTGTGGCTATACAATTCAGACATGAATTTGGATCGGTAACAAGATGACCACAATAATTAGATAATTCACGTTGTGGTGGATGTGGTGGAAGTAGCGATTCTGAAACAGGTAGTTGAGAATCAATTCCATCATCACATGAATTACTAGAAAAAAAAAATTTATAAAAGTAATTTAATTTTTTACTGTCTCGTTTATAGAGTATGTGTTTCTTTCCGACAATATTTCGGTAATTAAACTATTCATAACAATTTATCAGTTAATCCGATGAATTATTTACACTGAAATTAATTCATTTATTTGTTGCTTCAAAGATTCAGTTTTCTACTGATTTATTTTACTTACGTTAAACATGCACTGTATGTTTGTTGTACCGGTTTGAATTGTTTATTTTGACAATGTTGCAATTCATTGACACACGGTTCTTCACAAATGTTGATATTATTGTTTTTGTTTATATGTTGGTTACATGAATGAGTAATATGTGAATAATCGAAACTGGATAGAGAATGATTGTTCGTCGAAGATAAACAGTCGTGCATTTTTCTAGCATTAGTATTCAGATTATTGGTTGATGATAAGGAAGAGTGAGTATTACTTTTCTGCTTCATGTGAACATGATACCTTTGAGGAAAATTCATTGTAAATGATAGCGCATGATTCGGTTCTATTGGGAGGAAATATTCATTTGATATTGCATCCACATTCGGTTTGATATGATTAATTTGACTGTTAAACTGATCGTCAAACATTAACTTTCAATATTAAAATGGTCTTCCAATCAATATCAACTGTCTGTTACCAAGGAAATAAGTCAAACTCAACTATTTTCACACGCATTTTCTTTTTTTAATAATCAATCATTTGTTTATTATACATGAGAATTTAAAATCTTCTGATTTATATTTGATGTTGAATACCGTCTTACAAGGCTTTTACGACATTTGACCTTTTCAAAATGACAAATGTTGATCGAATTAAAGAAAAATCTCTGTTTAAACAAATGTGCTTCACTGTTATGTAGAAGAGTGACTTTTAGTTGTAAACTAGTTGAACACACGCTCTGACTTTATATGCACTGAAATATTGGATACGCTTCCCATGAGGAAATCTTCGTATATAAAACGGCGTGCACACTCAGGAATATCATGAAATGAACTGTTGTCGCACGTGAACATCGTAAAATGGTGTGCGGGCACACGTAAAAAATATATTTCACTTGTGACAATGCGTGAACTACTCACGGAAACTTTTCGCGTCACATTTTTCGCACGTGATCACTAGTGAAAATCGTACAAAGGTGTGTGAACAGCCGTGAAAAGAAATTTTCACCTGTGAACACGAGTAAAATTAAGCTCACACGTGACCACGCATTTGATGTTGCAACTACATGATCCCAACGTAGTCAAAGTCCAATAAACTTTCCCCATGGGTCATGACAGAAGTTTGTTTCGTTAGAAATTGAATAAAGCTCAAATATTGGAATTTTCTCAATTAAGTATTCATTTCCACAACGTATCAAGGATCATTTTGACAAAATAAAACAGAATTTTTGACAAGTCCCGAGCCTGGATTTCCAAATGGAATTTTTAAAACTTAAATTTTTCACTTTTTAAATTTACAATATTGCGACTCGAAGACCAGCTGACTTTCTTTTGAAAAAAACATTGAAAAGAGCGTCAAAATTAAAAAGACGTAAGAATGTGCTAATGTTTGAGTGCAGGAAAAAGTGAGTTATCGATACACAGGTGTCTCCATTAACGCTTAATTATTGAAACAGCTGAGATCCCTAAGTGTAGAGAAACGGTAAGTTTTCCCCAGATCAAAAAGGATTTTGAGCGGCTTTTTAGCAGTTCTTTTCGTTTTCTCCATTCTCTCAAGGTTTTTGCAGCAAAAATTACTTTTAAAGAGACAAAAAGAAAAGGTTGTTTGTGAAACTGTTTGGCAGTTTTCAAGCAATTCAGACTTCCAGAAAAACATTCTTACATGATATAAATTCAAAAGTGTTCAACAAAAACTATTTTGTCTTGCAGAAGTTATAAATTATTTTATCTCTAGTATAAAGTACATTTTTGAGAGACTTCAACAAAAACTACAAATTTTTGATTTTTAAAAAGGGTTTTTAACAAGGAGACAAAACTCTATGTTTGAAATGTTTGTTTTGATACGCTCACAGCACTTTAAGGAACTGATGTAGATTACTGCAGACAATGAAAAAAATTGTTACATTTTATGAGGATGGGATATAGGTTATAGTAGCCAGGATAAGTTACCAGTGCCTTCAGTACTCGATCGACTTTTACGAGCTTTTTATAAATAAATACTTGCTGTTGAGTCGAAAATAAGACAACTCGTGGAAGTTAATACTCTTTTTATCTCAAGGGTTAGTGGTGCTGTAAAGCACGTCTGAATGCAGGACAGTCTCTCATCAATATCATATAGTTCACATAGTAACATGACGAATGAAACATAAAACTATATTTGTTATGAAATTGTCATGAGTTTTCTGCATATCATGCTTAATTTACATAAATTTATTCATCTTGCACTATGTGTATTTCACGTAGTATGTAGTTATTAATTGAGGAGATCTTCACACTTTTAACCTTAGTCGACTATTGTTAAGGAAAATTTTATGAAGCTCATGAAAATCGCTCGAGTGCTGAAGAAGCAAGGCAATTTTTCCTAGCTACTATAAAACAAACAATGAGCTTATGTATTTTCAATTTATAACAGTAAAATCAGACGCTATGGTGTTCTAAACCTAGTTCAAAACTGTTTAGTTTTATATTAGATTGTCCAATAACGAATTCACATTAACGTTTTAATAGCACGGCTCGTTTATAGCTCATAAACAGTTGCGTAGTTCCAATAAATTGTATAGATTTTTCTGATTTGTCAAATTTTTCTCTGATAGAAAATAATCATCACGAACAAAAAATAATGTTATTAGATTTAATTTATGCCGTCGTGCACTGCATCCAGGTGCAATGTTCAACCGGATCCATCCCGAATTCCCTCTTCTACGCTAATTATTTAGCGAACATGGATGCTGTAAATGGATGGTCTTTATAAGAGTTTTTTTCGAGGCATTGGAATTCTTCAGCTTCTCTAAAAACAATCAGAAAACGGAGATTAAGATATTTTCAATAACTACCGGGCGTTTTGTTTAGTAACTTTATTCAAAGAAAAAAAATTAACCATTACAAGATCTTATACAAAATTTCGTCGAAGTTTCATGAAACTTATGACAATTTACCATCAATTTTCAGACAATTTGATACAATTCTCATACGTTTTCATGTAATTTTCGACACTTTACACAGAAAAGGAAGAGAAAATAGGTAAAAAGAAACTAAAAGGAAGATAAATTTCTTTTTAGGAAAAAACAGAAGTACAATAACAATGAAAAAGAACTACAATAGCCAAGAACACATTCGCACAACTAATCTACTAAAACATACTAAACAAAATGACTATTTCGGACTTTGCAAAGAAACCATAGGGCCACTCTTATGTACAATCTAGGCTATATACACAAAACAAAAACAAAAAATAAAATAAAACATATCACACCAACTCAAATGTACCAAAAAAACACATCTGTATATATATATATACATATATAAATATGTCAACTAACTAAAAAATAACCAACAATTATGTATTCTCAATATAGGAAGAAATGACTTTATACGTGAGTAAATAAAACAATTTAAAGTAGTAACTGTAATAATAATATTCCCGAAGTGTTTTGGGAAATGAAATATATTGTCACGATGATTGTATGACTGCATGAAAAAATAGAAATATAGACTAGTATGAGATATTTACATTTCATTTGAGTGTTTTTAAGATAAATTTAACAAAAGTAATAGTTTTTCATAGAAGAAATTCCAGTAGAGATCTTGAACAATAGAAGACAAGAGTAAAAGAAATTGTTTCAACGTAAGATAGCAAAAATAAAAAAAAAATAAAATTCTCTTCAATTTCTTACGTAATAAATAAACGTTGACAAACGGCTTTTTGAGTGATTCAGTGAATATGAAAATGTTGAAAGGAAATCAATATCTGAGATACACATATTACCAAAGTCAGTTTCATGGTGATGTGCAAGTGAATTACTTTCAGTTTATAAATGAACTATGTGACATATGAATGAAGTTTATTTAGAATCACAAAACATGTCTTTGGTATGCTCTTAAAAGCTACTAGTCAATCGAAGATTTTGATATTTTGATGTTTTTCTTCGAATTACTTACCAATAGATATAATCAAACTAAAACGATTGAGAAAGATAAACTATAGTTTTCTAGAAAATACATTAGATGAGATCTCTTCATTAAGTAATAAAACATGTACATAAATAATGACAGTATATTTCTTACGAGTGAACCTTATCAAGTAATTCTTCGATTTTTTCTTGGAATATACTTTATAACAGGTAGTTTTGATGCTGTTTATGAATCTGGTATTCGTTTGTAGGGCCTTCGTGGATGAGTCTACAGAAACCGGATGTCTAGAGAACCAATCGGACACATTTTCTGATACTGTCAGATTGTAGTTACGCCTGTAAATAAGTTTTTTGAGTTATAGTTCTCTAAAAATCCGATTTCTGTAGACTCATCCAAGAAGGGTTTATGAGGACAAACGAGTATCAAATTCATGATCAAAGCTACTTGTTATATAACGTATATTCTATGAAAAAATAGAGGAATAACTTGGTGAGATTTCCTCGTCAGTTTATAAAACTGTTTACAAAAGAAACATGCCAGATTATATCAATTCTCTCATAACTTAGAGCAAAAAAACTAATTTTTTTCTCTTTTATGAGACTAATAATTCTCTACTAGTTCTTACTGAACTATTCTTGCTATTATTTGACGTTAATAATGTTCCTGAATCTGATTTTGATATTTCATGATCTAGTTTACAAGAACATGGCCCACTTTCATTGCCTTTTTCAAATGAATCTAGTGATTGTAGAGAACCACTTCGTCTTAAATTCGATTCTGTTTGTGCTTGACTAAACGTATTTATCAAATCATTTGAATTTTTTTCTGTTAATGGTGACTGAAGTGTTGCTATCGGTAGTTGTGAAGTGAGATTATCGCAACTATGCGATAAATCATTGGTTTTAACACGTTTTATTATTGGAGAACGATCTAAATCAGAATTAACCAATGTCGTATCTGTTGTTGGCGATAATCGTTTCAACGTGATACTGTTTGGTCGTAATAATGTCGGCCGATTGAACATTAATGGTAACGGTAATGATGAGGGTGAATCAACAGAAGTGTTCGTTAATGTACGTGAAGCGGGTGAATCAACAGACAGGTTTGCAATGGCTGTTGATGGTGATATTAAGGAGACCGTAGATGAATGTTGTTTTGTTAGATCAAAATTGAATCCTTTTGGGCGTACAACATGTTTTGGACGACAGATGACATCTTCATTACCAGTAGTTGTTGTAACTATTGCACTATTAATAAGAATATTATCATCATCGTCAAGATCTCGCTCTCGTTTTAGTGAAGGGTGATCAGTTGATGAAGAAGAATGGCCTTCGAGTTGAACAAATCGGCGACGATCGATAATATTCGATGAAACACATTTCATAAGTTGTGGAAATTCAACCGTTGAAGTAGAGGAGAATTGTTGTTTTCGACATTGATGTTCATATTCAGATAATTGTCCGAGAAAATTGAAATTAGGAGATATATGATGACGTTTCGCTTTTATAAATCTAAATATATATCAAACAAAAAAGCATAGAAAATACGTTTGAGAATATGAATCAAAAAATTTACTTGTATGCATCATCCGCAGTTAAACCCATATGTTTCATGATATAAGCAACAGCTAATGCAGGTGATCTACTGATGCCAGCTAAAAAACAACAATAAAAGTTAAGACATGTTTTTTTGGAATAAATGAGTAAATAGAAAAAAGAGATATTCACCTAAACAATGAATGAAAACACGGCCATTACTTAATCGAGCTTTTTCTAAAACAAATTCAGATCAACAAGCATAATGTGATAGTCTAGTTATTTTTTTGATTTACCAATAAAATTGTATGCTTGATCAAAATATGGTGTCAATTGTGCATTGAGACTATCATTAATTGGTATTCGTAAAAAATGTTCATCACTCTCATCGACTATCGACGGGGCTTTTGGACCGGTTGTCGATACGTTGATTATATGAGTTATGTGATAATCCTAATAGATAAACAACGATATTAAAATCAACTGTCATTTTAACAAAATCTTACATAACCGAAACCGTTCTTTTTAACTCTATTTTTTTCTGATTCGCCTTTCTAGGATGATAATCTTTTCCAAGAATATTGTATCATACCTGCATCATTTTTGTCGACATTGCATCCTCTTGTGACCCAAGAAATAAAAATGGTAGAATTTGAGATGGTCCCACATTAGGCGGGCTTGATAAACATTGCTCACTCATACAACGACTCGAAAACATTGATGAATGATTATTTCAAACTACATTTGCCTTAGTTCAAGAAGAGGAAGAGAAAAAGAGCAAGATAGAAAAGGATAAAGATAAACAGTCAGATCTAAAGTGAACAAAGTAGTCATCGTATGTAGCGGGTGAATAATGAAATTATTCATTCACATTTGTTCTTCTAGGTTAGTTGGAGAAAATAAGCGAAATAATGACTGAATGATGGAAAATTAATCGTTTTTTCAATGAAATTCAAATCAAAATTATTTATGGTTGAATCCGAAAGAAAGGTATTTTCTGGAAGTAGAAATAACTACAATTGGCTTGATACGATCGAATCAATGGAATATGATAGAGGACGAATACGGTTATTCCTGTGAAAAACGGCTCTATTGACGAGGACATTATATTACAGCTTTTCTACTCCACAGATCCGCCTCTAACCAAACTTCGGGGGTAATAGGGCACCTTATTTGTAAGTTATAAAAATATTCCAATGTCATATCTCTCAAGAGTTACAGAAATAACGGTATAATTGAAAAAGATGAATTTCAAAAAGATATGTTAATTGCTGTTCGAGTTGCGAGTGAAATGAGACATGGTAGGACATCTTCGCAGGCCGTTCAAAACGGCCCGATTAACGGCGTGTTAACGTCCGATTAAGTCTACGTTAACGGGACGTAAACGTACCGTTTTTACACCGTTAACTGGGATCGTATTACAGCCCGTTTTTAAAGAGGGAAACTGCGCCCTAGTGACATTTTTTCTCAAGTATACCCGAAGAAACTCAAGCTAATCTATCTCTAGCTTTGTAGAAGGCTTTTAGCTCCTTATGCTTCCACCATGTTTTACTCGGACTTTTCCTCAAGAACATGGTGGAATCAATTTTTAATGTTTTCGTTAACAAGATAATGCTTCCACCGCGCCATAATCTCTATCTGAAGAGGAAAATTCAATAATAACACAAAGTCAGAGAAAGTACACAGCAATTTCGGCCCACTGTTCTTCTACTGAACATAAACACCTCGTAGTCATAGTGTTGAACTATCTGATTTTCGATAAGCTGTGGAGTTTACTTTTCAGAAAGATTTCTTGCTCAAGTAAACTTAAGTCTCACTTCGCTGTATTTTTTTCTCAATCCTTGAACTATATCCCCCTTGGGTCATAGTCAATGCTGTTGACCGATGAATCTACGTTTTATCAGTCTAATTTTACTGAACGACCTCTCTGTGACTTTCTGTGTTGTCCGATTCCAAGAGTTTGCTAACATTAAGCTACCCAGGTCGATTGTCACGCTGAATTCGCGGCGCTTTAATTCTCGCAAAAAAAGTCACGATTTTCGCGATCGCTATGAAGTCGCTATCATTGATTGATTCTTTTCATCCGCTATTTTCGCGTCACGATCGCGGTTCATTCGCTACTGTCGAGTCGCGATCGCGGTTTAGCCGCTATTGTCGCGTCGCGATCATGCAGAAATCGCGGTGTCATAACGTGATCATATTATAGTCGCAGCAAGATCTTATTATAGTCGCTATACTCAGTTATTGTTTGTTCTTCGCTTTATTTAGCGTTTGATCCAGTTATAACAACAAAAGGATTCACAATGCGTATTTTTATCTTATGCTTCGCTTTAGTTTAGTCGTTTTGCTCTTAGGTAACGGAAAATGGCATTAATTCGTATAATAGTCGATTAAAACGTCGCTGTTTCCCAAAGGAGGGGGATCGATAAGAGGCAAAATCGCCCCCTCTCAGATCAAGCTCATATTCACAAGTCTGATGTAGTTTTTCTCCATGATTAAAACTAGCACCTCAAAAAAAAACATTTTCATCCCCTCTGGAAAAAATTCCGTATTCAAACTTTTCTCTCCTTAAATGAACTTTATTTAGAGTATTTTCCCCATTTCTTCTCTTTGCCCAAAGCAAACCTCAACTACTGTATATCATTTGATAGAGAATTTCAGGGGGTACAAAATGATAGATATAGTATTGAGAACAAATGGGGTTTGTGAGTCCTAACACTAAAAATACTACTCCGATCTCCACTAATCCATAGGTCAACAGCGTTCATCGCTTATATTGTCAGCCAGTTTATCGTTAACCACTCCACTTTATATATCATTCGATAGAGAATTTTACGGACTAGAAAAAGATAATACTATTGTAGAGTGATGTTTTCGGCATCGATGGATAGGCTAAATCCACATAAAACCGTTTACCATTTACACCCACCTTTGACGTCAGTGACGAGACCTACCTCATATTATAGGGCTCAGCAAACTGAATCGAATGGTGACAACCGCAAGTCTCCAGCCTTGTTAGAAAAAGAGCTATAGCCATTTTACCTCTCTGGCTATGTTGCATCATGCTTTACTCGGACTTTTCTTCGAGAACATGATGCGATCACTTTTTTGAAGTTTACATCGATCCTACGATGCAGTAAGTACTCCACAATATCTATCTAAAATGGTAAAAGACATTTTTACAGACGAACCTATACAAATTCAAAGTGAGTACACAGCAATTTTGAAAGTCTAGTCCTTCCTTTAAATCCTTGCAGCGTATTTCTGTTGCGCTGGTGAACTATCTTTACCAGGCGCGAGACGACGCCCGTGCCCATGGCTTTACTCTTTCTAAAAAGTTAATAGTTAGTTGTAACAGGATCGAACTGATACTCGCTACATCCTGAAAGTCACCAACGACAAAGCGATCTTACACCGAGGATACTCACGATTGCGATGATATCAACCTTTGATACTTTTCTCACTTAAGTGAATTTCATGATGACATCCAATTTTCAATCTTCTGAACTCTAGAGAGCACTTTTCTTAATTATTATCTTTGCATTAGAAAGCTGAGACTTTGCTCTTTCGAATGGTATATTTGATTCGGCGTAAATTCGTCGTAAACGTGCTCTCTCACGTTTTCTACGTTGCTGGTCTATCAATTTTGAAACAGTGAAAAAACACGTATGCTGACTATTTTTTCATTAAAAAATTAACAAGTTGGAATTTCAAGAAGAAAATATCCGCATATAGACTAGACTCCATGCGTAACAATATGGTGAAAAACGCAGCCTTCTAGCTCGTTTAGTTTCGTAGATATAGCAGAAACAAAAAACTTTTGGCTTTCTGGTCTATCAATTTTGGGACACACTGTACAAAAGTGATACGAAAAATTCAATAAAGTAGGTGGAAAAGGTTTCTCGACAAGCCCGATCCAAATATCGCAGTCTTCCGGCTGGAATCCTGGTGGATAAAATGCAGCTAGTTTTCATATGCCCATCCGATTGACTTTTCTTCGAACGCTTCCAACTGCGCAGAAAAAAAGTAATCACGTGTTTTCTCATCGCTAACTATGAGTGTTTCCAAACTAGTATGGGTTGTATCCGACGCAGAATCAAATTCTGAACAGTTTATGTTCAAGCTATAACTATCTCAGATATTTTGTTGACGAGATAAATCTTCATTATTATAATAGTACTTGTTGCTTCTCCGTTTTTTAGACGCAAAATTGATAAAATGTGGTTTTTCCCATCAGTGCTCGACGTGCACAATGATCTCACCCGTCTATTGTCTACGGACCGACATTTCGTTTGTATGACGCTACTCTGTCAATCCAGAGAATAAAGCAATAACAAACAACATACTACCATTCGAAGTTTTCTTCAAAAAAGAACATTTACTAATTTTCCGACACTAATCGTTCACGGTAAACGGTAAATTTCAATGTCGTTAATTTTACACTTCCCGCCTCCAGTAAACGTCTTGCTCCCGTGACCAAGTGTATCAAAGTAACTACCAGGAAAATCAATGTAACTCGTCTCCATCATGTCCTCGTTCTCACTACCCACAAGAAAATCAGCAAATGAAACTTCTTTTATTATGGCAACGAAAGTGAGATCGCTGTCTTGTTAAAACAAGCAGAAGGAAGACTGTTAGGTGAGTGTAGAGAAGAGAAGATGTGAGTACAAGGATGACGTTGTACGTGAATTGGTCCCATAAAATGAAAGTTCTTGTATTATGGACAACGAAAGTGAGAGGATTCTGTTGTTAAAATAAGCAGAAGGAAGACTATTAAGTGAGTGTCTAGAAGAGAAGATGCGAGTAAAAAGATGACGTTGTAAGTAAATTGGTCTTATGAAATGAAAGTTCTATTATTATGGGCAAGGAAAGTGAGATGATTTTGTTGTTAAAATAAGCAGAAGGAAGACTATTAGGTGAGTGT